GGGTAAATATTGTAAGTCGTATAACTTATCGTACCTACTGGCTACTATTCCTAAATTGTATGCAATTGTATATGTATTTTCTAAAAATAGTTTGAAACTTAAGGTCATGTTATATAATATGAGCTATATCGTGACATTATATAAAATACATTTTAATATAAGTTAAAGTAGGTACTAAATATAGTATTAATATTTAATAACAGTGTATATGTATAGTGTATTATTATAACAAAATGGTTAAACTAAAGCCTTTAGTTAGTTTAACATATACTATATACAATTGCATAAAGTTTAGGTATAGTAGCCAGTAGGTACGATAAGTTATACGACTTACAATATTATTTACCCGGAAATAAAAACTATAGCTTTAACTTACTGCTTACATGGTTATAGGTTACAAAGTATAACATTTATACTCTAAGAAGAATTAAATAATTGTATTACTTACCTACATTCTACAAGTATAAAATAGTTTGTAACATAAATATAATATTATATTATGTTGTATAAATGTATAATATAAGTTACATATCATAATATCATCCAGCTCAACCCAAATTAATGATGTATCCAACTACTAATGGTCGTCGTTTTAGTATAAAATATTATCAATTATATGAATGGTTGGAATATTCAATTTCCTTAGATGCGCTTTATTGTTTTGTTTGCCGACATTTTGCTGCCAGTATTACTGCACCAGGTGAAGTTTTTGGAAAATTAAGTTTTGTTGATTATGGTGCTACCTGTAATAAATGGAAAGATTTTAAAGAAACTMTAAATAAACACGAGAGAAATAAAAGGCACATCATTTCCATGCAACGTTGGATTGATTATAGACTAGTTCAAAATAAAAATGAATTATCTGTATCAAACCAAATAATACATGTTCGACAAAATAATATAAATGAGAATCGTCAACATATATTATTTTTTCTCAAAGTAGCATTATATTTAGCTAAACAAGGGTTAACATTTCGAGGAAAAAATGAATCAAGAAATTCCAAAAATAGGGGTAATTGTTTAGAACTTTTGGATGTGTTTTGTGATGCAAATATGAAAGAAAGACTTGCATCAAGGTATGGCCATTACACAAGTCCGGAATATCAAAATGACTTAATTTCATCTATAACTAAATGTACTAGACAAAAATTTTTAAACAACACTTTGCAAGATCTCTATAATTTTTTATGAATGGACAAACTATGTATGAGTTATTTGTTAAAGCACAACAGGCAAAAGGATTACCCGTATTACACCTAGAAATATTAGTTGAAACTAGATGGGCTTACTGGTTTGGATCAATTAGTAAAATAAATTTGCGGTATACAGAAATTATTGAAGTACTTACTATACTTAGCAAAAATGATAACCAAAAGGCAAGAGCGCTAGGAATTTTAAAAGAAATGAATACACTGTCATTTATTAAAATATCACATGCTATGGAATCACTTCTTAGAGCCATTMACTGTGCATCAAAGGCCCTCCAAGACTGTTCTATTATTTTACCAGTCGCCATTGATTTAATTAAATCTAMAAAAYRACAGCTTTATAATATGCGCAATGATGAATTTTGGGATGATGTTACAAAAAAAGCAAAAACTATTGCTGTTCAAAATGGTATCAACATAAATAAAAAAAAGAATCCAAAAAAGACATGTTTGAATAAGAATCTATTAGAATTTTATGTTGAAACTACAGTTGGTCAAAGTTTTAAGAACAAAATTTCAGAGTTGAGTAAAGACTTGAAAATAATTTTTTTTTTCAGCAGTTGGCAGGTATGTACCTACAACTAAAATAATCTAAAACATCAAGGATTGAATTTGTTTATATACCTATATATATTGGTTTTTCTTTTTGTAAATTTGTTAATGAATTAGATAGGTAAATGCTTCAATGATACAAATAACAGCATTATTTTAATTAGCAAAGTAGCAACATTTTCCTTTCCTCCAGCCCTGAATATTTTAATTTTAAATATCCATTTCAAATGTCAATTTTTACTAAATTACAAGCACTTTAATATTAACACTATCAAGCTAAAAGCTGAATTTCTGAGTGCTAGAGAATTACTTTCGGGTGATTCAAATACCAAACATGATCTATATTCCATTTCAAAAATATTACTCCAATTACCTCAATATGTTACTCTGAAACATTAAAAATAATAACCATTCTTATGACCTTAACAGTTTCCACCGCTTCTAATGAACGCTTTTTTTCATCACTTAAGCAAATTAAATCATATTTAAGATTAACTATGGGTGATGGATGATCGTCTCAATGATTTATTGTTTGTTGGCGTTGAAAGTGATGAGGCCTCAACAATTAATTTAGATGAAGCACTTCACATTTTTGCTAGTATGAAGAATTGTCGCTATACCCACTTATAAGCTAAGCAATGCACAACTATAATACTTTTATAAATAGTTATTTCTTTAAATTTTAATAGTAATAAAGAACAAAGAAATATTTTAGTCTTTAATTCTTTTTTTTTTTTTTATTTGCTTATGCTTATTGCTTTTTTAAATTTAAGTATTATAATTTTTTTATGTTATAATTCAAATAAGGTATATTTAGTGAAACAGTGCCACAGTTGTGGTACTTTAATCTTTAATGCATATTTTATTGGGAAACTATTATTAGTATTATACAAATATTATTAATTATTTGGTTTTCAGAATAAACTACCTAYATTGAAGATTATAATAATATGTTGATGTGAGTTAAGATTAGGTATTTATGTTTTATTAAGTAGTATGTTAACAAAAGCGGCTACAGTTTGTGTTATATAAATTATTAAGTATAAAAATAATAATTGAAATAAAAATTGGGCTAGCTAGCGAGCGGAGCAAACGCCTTTTTTAWATATAATTAAAAGTGTTAAAKTTATAGGACCAGTCATTATTATGCCCTACCCTATCAAATATTGAAATGACGCCCCTGACTAAAGGTAAGTATTAGGTTAAGTAACTATATAATAGATACGTTATACTTACTATTATACGTTTGCCTGACAAAATTATTTCATACATTCATTATTTTTATTTTAGTTAAAAACTGTCACGTAAATCTTGTTCTTATAACACTATACTTATTATGCTATAATATACTCTACCTACATTGTAATAAACTTAGGTGGTTTTTATTAACCTATCGATTTGTTAATGCTGCAACTACGTGTTTGGTGTATATTAAAATATTATATCTGGTGTTAAATTACCAAATCCTTTGATTTTCTACTTCTTCCATCAGTCATCATCACAAATCCGTCTTCATCCAAGCGCCGTAATATTAAACTACGACAAGATACCTTTCCGGTGCTGAAACCATAAAAAAAAAATTATTATTGCTCATTGTAAGACAGCGTACTTCGTATTAAAATASTACACTAAAATATATTTATAACAGCTAAACAGAAATTATTTTCAATCTTGATTAAAATTTCAAACTGAATTAATCATAACTTAACCATGTTATTAGTTTATTACGGTATAAAAATATCATTATTCTAGAGGAAAATCATGAATGGCCTATTTAAAAGGGGGAAAATTAATTATTAAGCATAAATGCATAGTAGTATCATCAGTATAGTTAAACTTATAAATCTGTTTTAATAATTATTAGAATTTAGTAACAGATTCTATTACAATTATTATGTCTACACACAACAAAACTGTAGGTACTACACAATCATTTAAGTATTCAAACTAAGTTTATTACAAATTTAATTTTCAACTTGCACTAAACTCTCAACTTGAAGTCAGTAATATGAGATTATACTCTAGATCATCTTTACTCTATAATGGGTAAGTTTTACATTTTTAGGTCTTAGGTAAATTTAAAAAAAGAAATTTTGCTGGTTAACAAATACGGACACTTAATATAATTTTATACTAAAAACATTAAACATATAGCAATGTAGATAGGTACTTGCAAATAAATACATAATATATATACATCGCTTGTGCAGGCCATGGAAAAATGTATGTAGGTATGTATAGCCGTATAGGTACGGATACCCATAATAATCATAATTTATGGTATTGTTACATTTAACTGAGTGATTTAATTAAATTCCATTTAATAATATGCAATATTCTTTATTCATTATTATGACTCATTTCTATTCAATTTTCGTTTACATTCATTACACTACACAAAAATATGACTTAATTATTATTTAACTATTTAATAATACACACATTGGTACGTAAGTATAGTTTAATCTGTTTTAGTTTTTGCAATAGTTGTGTAAAACAAACTAGATTTTATTTTAATTATTCATATCAAGTATCTGCTTGACTAAGAGAAAGTAAAAGTGCTAAATACTCTTATTTTTAAATCACAATAGGYACAATATTATTCTAGTGTGCATCTAATCGAAGATGAGAGAATGGTAAACATTATTATGCTAATCGACATTTTTCAAACATTATTTTCATGGTTGCTAATATTTTTTTCTTGTTGTTAAAGAAACTATACTACAGTACTACCTAATAAAATAGATTTCTAGACATTTTTTTTTCAATTTATTGTATTCAACCAAAATTAATTGAATACTAGAAATGCCTATTTTAACTTCAAATAAAGTTTCGGTTGGAAGAGCATGTTATAGTTTGGTTTAGTAAAATAACAATTTTTTTTCACATCTTAATATGTAAAAAAAATCTGAATCCACGAAAAATCACTTAATACAGTTATTTTGAACTTTTTGAAAAATTTAAAATTTAAAAAGCGGGAAAGTGGATATCGCTCTGCTGTATAGTTGTAGGTTACAAGTGGGATACTGTAATGAATGGAATTAAATTTGAATCCAATGATATTATATCGTTGTATACGAAAAACGATTTTGAGCGGAGACGCGCAGTTTATCTGTCTAGGATATATTATAGATTATTATTACTTATTATTAAAATATTTGACTTTCCGGTGGACATTTTTTTTGATAAAGGTAGACAAACTTATGAGGAATCTTGAATTAAATTTTCAAATYACTACCAAGACGCCAGGAAGTAATTTTAAACAGATTACGGATAGGTCATACATGGGTGACCCATAAACACCTTATGAACAGATCAGATCCTGACCAATGTCAAACTTGCGGTGAAACTTCCACGGTTGAACATCTAATATGCCACTCCCGTAAATTCACCGACATCAGAAACAAGCTCAACATAGAAGACAATCTGGAAGAAGCTCCAAGTCCCCAGCCAAGCAACATTGAAAAATTAATCAGTTATTTAAAACAAACTAAACTATATCAAATTATTTAACCTAGATATATCTCAATCCTT